GACTGGACATCGTGTCCGAGATGTTTACGTGTTTTTCCAACATCTGTTGTCTATTGTCGCGTGCTGACGGTTCGTTGGCGGCATGGGCGCCGGGTTCTTTTTCGCACGGCAGCTCGGTCAGGCCGAGGCCCCCACCGCCTGTGTCCACGCGGCACGCTGGGGGCCCCTCGCCGCGCGCGCGTCGCTGCGACCACGTGATTCACGCCCGTCACCCCGCGGTGCCACAGCGATGACATCCGCCCGGCCCTCTGCACGCGAGGGTCGGTGCCGCCGTGTACTCCAGGGGCTCAGCGAGGACAATTGAAGCGCAAACGCCAACTTCGGTGCGACCCTGAGCGCGATGAGCGAGGGATGGGGGGGGGGGGGCATGCACTGCCCGACCTCTGGCTTGGAGAGCCCCTGTCTAGGCTCAGGAGGCGGCATCGGATTTTTCCTGCGTCTCCCCGGGGGGGTTGGAGGGGGCAGGAACCCGGGACCTCTGTGGGCTGTTGGCTCAATACTCTGACATCATCGCGAGTTAGCCCGCTAAGCCCGTTGAGCCCCCCCCCCCCCCTCTGTAGCCACATTTTCGAATTGAATAGCGTGTTTATACATGGCAAAGTAGCCGAGTTTTTGCTGTTGTCTTTAATTATCCGATCCGTGTGACCGCGTGGCGTGATAATCGTTTTGCTATTAAGTCGGCGCGATTTTACATGCACAGTTCCTCCGCTTTCAGTCTGCTCATAGCTGACTACGAAAACACACGAATGGAGGGAAGTTAAAGAAGGGTGCAGTGGCCAGAGCACATGGCTCACAACCGGGGATCCACTCGGCCCATCAACCCTTTCAAACCACTCTGTGGGATGTCAGCAGTACTGAGAATAGACTTTCCCCAACCAGAGGATAGTGGAATGTCTGACACCTGCTCAGCGCTGTGAGTATTAAATGAGCACCTTTGCGATGCTTGCTTGATCGGCAATGGACTTTGGCTCAGGACACGGAACGACCCTGACGGCGGTCGCGGTTGCGCAGGAAACTCCGAGGGCATCTGAGATGTCAAGGAGCCTCTGGAGGCTGTGAGGCGTTGCTAGGAGGCGATGAAGTCCTGTGACCCAAGCGGACGACGCGGTCTTTAAACAGCCTCAGGCTCCCTGTCGGTCTTATCGGATTTTTTTTTAATTCATCAGTTAATGAGAACACAGTGCGCAATGGACGCGGGGTGTTGAAGTAAATTAACACTCTTCTGCAGCGTGGGTCGGCCCGCGAGAAAGAGAGGACCGGCAAATGTCAACTTGTCAGGGCAGGCTCTTCCCCTCCCCGCTGCTGGGAACGCGACATTTAATCCCTCACCATCTAAACTCGGGAAGTTACGAGGTCACTCGACGTTCAAAGTCAAGCAGAGAAACTGAAACAAAGGGACTTTGTTCATGCGGGAAACTCCAGAAGCCTTCGGCGCGAGCACGGCACTCACAACGCGATCTCGTGGCCATGTGGAGGAGACGACTTGCCAATCACGCGCATGGGTATCGCGCATGTGATGTTCAGGGGTGACGTGGGCAGACGATGTGCTGCTGCTGCTGCTGCTGCTGCTGCCCTGAGTGAGGTCAAGCTCTGTATCCTCTGCGCGCGTCTGCTGCTCGCCGTCTCGTGATATCTCTTAAAGTGGCGGCGGATAGCGCGCCGTGGAGGTGCGCAGGCGCTTGGCAAGGACGGTGCGTTGCATCCCCTCGCTCCGCTGAACGGATTCTGCGCGGCGCCTCACTCGAGCGCATCTCGTTGCCCATCGACCAATGACCTCGTGACCCTACCGGTAACCGGGCAGCCCTCTCTCTGTCGCAGGGTGGCTTGCTGCCGACTTCTCTGCAGTGGAGGCAGCGAAAGCGTCGCGTCCTGCGCCGCGTGGCGTGTTGTGCGTCGTGACGAGGAGCGCTCTGCGAGGCTGCCCCCCTCCATCCCCTATATCTGCGTGACATCTGTGAAAAGAGCTTCATAGGCTAGTGATATTTCTCTAGTGTCAATAAATATTCCGATTCTGCGTGAGCTCGAAGCGGTGGCAGCCCTCGGCGGAGGAGGCGGCGTGGCAACTGAGTCGGCGAAGGTGGCCACGGTGTTATCGATTTCTCAGATTCCTGATGTTGCCTGGATGATGCATATCGCTGCCCCGGTGTTTTTCACCACTTTGGCACGTGCGCCATTCAAGAGAGAGCACGGTTTTAATGGGCTGCGTAAGGAACGAAGACTCAACCCCGCAGACTGAACAAGACCGCGCGCGGTGTGCACCATCATGACAACTGCACTCATCTGGTCTTGATCCACTGCTGTTTAATGACCTCTGTTGCTGATAGGAAGGAACCTTCACGAACACCGCTTGGCTCATCCCTGTGCCGTGCGATTAAAGCAGAGATGCCGTGCTGAGAACGCACGCGCGGTCGTTTTGAATCCGCTCTGGGATTTCTTGAAGCCGAGGACAGTGCCGGAGCGCGAAAGCCACAATTATCAGCGAGCGGCCGTTCCAGTTGGCGTCCGTCCCCTTTCACCCTCCGTCTCGCCTTGGCTAATTTGAGCTCGTGGCAGCCTTGATGCGCGTGTGACTAAACGGCATGAAAGCCTCACCTCTGCACGGCCAATTAATCCTCGCGTAATCCTCGTCCTGCCACGCAGCATATTCACGGAGCGGCAGCCAGCGCAGCCGACCCCGGTCTCCTCCTCCACAATTTCGGATTCACTCAGCGCCTACAAATAAGTATCTCAAGTTGCTCGAGCGCATGCATTTGTGATTAAAACATTAAATACACTCTTACGCTCGTATGATCCCGCAACAACATTCTCGCCCGTGCTTTGTTCCCGCGAACTGAATAGATTCTTCGTGCACGTGCATTTTCACACATTTGTGAGCAATTCGTAGCTCTCTGTTGCGGCAACTCTGCCTGCACGTGCTCTGCGGGCCACTGCTGCCGCGCACGCCCGCAAGAAGCGCTTTCGCACGGGTTGTGTTACCGCGCGGTGGGTCGTCCGCGAACATGTTTTTTACAGTTCGCAGTGGTCTGTGGGGTCCGCAGACAGGTTGGGAACCACTGTCCTAGGCCATTACCGCAGAGACATGATGGCCGAACCCAGGGTGGTCGAGTTTGGCCTTCTGCCAACCAGTTTACCAGCGACCGTCACCCATGGCAGCAGCAGCCACCGTCACCGGCGCCCTGGCGGCCGCTGCCACCACCCGCGTGAGTGGCCGTGCATCCTGGAGACAAAATCACGGCTCCTTTCTCTCCCTGCCGCTCTCAGAGTCAAGGTCCACCCAGGCCACGAGTGCCGCCGCTACCCCCCCCCCTCCCCGACGCCCAGCCCCCCCACTCTCGACTTCAACTCACCCTCCCTTTGTCTCCCGGGCCGTGCGAGCGCAGCAACCCGCGATGCCGCCGTGGCGACGGTGTCGTCTTTGAGCGGCCGAGCAGCGCTAACGTTCCCTCCCACCTCACGCCGACGCCGCGCTCGCTTGATGAATTACCAGGCGCAGAGCCGACAGGCAGAATGACTGATGACGGCTAAAAACGAGATATAATCCAGGCGGCGCAGGCAGATGGAAAATTGTAAGGGCCTCGTTCAAGGAATGCGCGTGCATTTTTTTTATCTGTTTCATATTTTTTTTTATCGGTGATGGGAGGAGAGCGCTTGAGATCCGTGGCGCTCGTGGAGAAACGGCACGCAGAGGGTGCGTGGTGTCAGTCAGGCACCGTGGTTGTTTACAGTGTGTGCTCGCTCACCGCCGTCTCTGCTGTTTATTTCTTAATCAGCAAGGAGTGGGGTGTTTTTCGTTGTTTGTATTCCAGGCATTATTGGGAGGCGCCCTGAGCAACCGCAGCGATTGTCATCAATCGCCGCGCTCGCGGAAGACACTCAGGTCGCGTGCGTCTCGTTGGCGACGTCGAATAAACGCGTGGATTTTGTGTTTATGCTGCACCGAGGCTAAAATTAATGTCGTCCCAGCGCCACTGTCTATTATTACATTTCCCAATGTGCAAGCATTGACATTCGGGGTTGGGCAGTTGCTTAGCAGCCAGCGCGAGGTCAAGCCGCATGCCGCACTAGCGGCACGCTCACACTCGGCAGCCTCGGCCTCCAGCCTCAGGTGGCCAGGGGCCTCCAGCCCCAACCGCCCAGGGGGCCTTCAGCTTTGGGTGGCCAGGGGTCTTCCAGCCTCAACCGCCCAGGGGGTCTGCAGCCGCAGGTGGCTAGGGAGCCTCCAGCCTCAATCGCCTCGGGGACCTTCAGCCTGGGGTGGCCAGGGGGCCCCCAGCAAGCCAAATGGGCACCGTGCACTCCGGCGCGAAGGTCACGGGCCACCAATCACCGCCATCACCCCCTGCGCTCACCGGGGTGACGTTGATGGGTGACTTGGGGGACCGCGCTCAATGCGAGTCGCAAGCCAGAGCAGCTCCGCTGCCAAGAGTCGCAGCCAAAAAAGTCCGGGCTCATTTATTTTGTTAACTTTCAAAGTTAATTAGGGCCGAGGGGAGCAACGATCCGGTGGTCCCAGGATGGCACCTGGTGGCCCCGTGTCTGGGCGTGTGGTGACAGCAGAACGACCTCCCTTGGCCAGGCTGCACCCGATGACACAGACGTCCATCAGCGGCTGGCAAATGCAAGGCACCATGGTGCCAGAGTCTCGGGTTACACGTGCGGGTCACAACCAAATGCGTCTCTGTGTGTATACGTGGGTATTAATTTCCCCACTAAAAATGTGCCTGTCTGCATGCGTGCGTGTCTCTGTGCGGGCGTGCGCGGGTGTGTATCTGTACGCGTGGTTGTCTGCCGCATCCCTGCGCGTGCGTGCATGCGCTCGTGTCGCCGTACGTGCGTGGATGCCTGTGCGCGTGTCTTTGGGTGCGCGTGTGGGAACATCTGTTGGTTTGCGTGCGTGTGTGTACGCGTCAGCGCGTGTGTGTTCCTGTGCTCGTGCGTACGTGCGCTTGTGCGTGGGTGTGCCCGGCCCCGCTTGCGCGTGCGTGGCCTTGATGTGGCAGGGAGCCCGTGCCCAGCCGGACCCCTGCACGCGCCGCACGTCATGCAGCCCACCCTGAGCCTCAAGCCCTTCCTGCCGTTCCCCCTGGAGGCGGCCGCCACGCACACCCACGCCCTGCGCCTCTTCTCCGCCTTCCCGGCTGTGAGTTACCGCTCGCCTTCCGCGCGCTCTGCGTCGGCGCCGTCGTGTGTCGTGGGACAGCGCGGGAGGGGTGGTTTTTGCGCCAAGGTAAAGCGGCGGTGCCGAATTGGACAGAGGCAGTGCCTGGTACCGGGCAGCCGGTGATCTCTCTTATCCCCGTTGAGCCCCCGCGAAAACAGTTGCGGCCATGGCCTAGATTCACCGAGCCGCACGAGGGTTCCCGCGGTGATGGGAACCCTCTGCACCGCGGCTTTACTGCCGGAGCTAGGACAACGCAGACCATCAGGGACGCGGGTAAAGAGCGGGCAGCCGATTGGGGCCTGTGACCCGATGGGGAGCTGCCACGGTTTTTAACGAGGGGAGCTGCTGCCATAACAATCTTGGTTCGTGATTTTACTCCAGAATTTGATCACAAGTCTGTGGTAGAATTTAGATGTCTTCGAAGTGGATTCTCGAGGACGTCACTTGCAAGAACACGTGCTTGGCTTGCATAAAAAAACAACTGCCTCCCCGTACATTCTGAAACTTTTCAGTGGAGGCATCTTGTGTATTAACCGCGTGAAGCCGTATTAATATGTGGTCGGCGTGGTGATTCATGCACTGCACTGTGAACTCAGCATTGCTCTTCACAGCCAGTATCAGCGTTGAGTAACATCCGAAACCATCCTAATAACCCCCTTCATCAGCCCATGCTGACCAACATAGTGAAGTATAGTCGAACGTCCTCGAGGGATAAAGCATTGCGGAGGGGACCGTCATGAATTGGTGAATTGACAACTGTCATTGATTATACAATTCGTTAATTGCCATTAGGCTCTTTTAACGGAGCCGTTCATTCCAGTTGTTCTTTGAACCCTGGTCTCACTGGCAAGAGAGTTTCCAGGTTTCAATGAGATCCCGCGTTGTTATAAATACACATGATCTAACCGCCCGAGGCGACGGGCGCGTCAGCCCCGCGGTTAAATTTTCACATCCAAGTGTGTTAATAATTGCAAAAACATTTTTTTTAAACGCGCAAACACTTTCCTTGCTTTCGCTGCTTGTGGCCCAAGCCAGTGTTGACAGAGAGAATGAGCGCCGCCGTGCGTCTCCTCGTTTAACACCGGGGCCCGGCGCTAACCCAGTGCCCCCGGTGAACGTATTTCACTTTCGCACGTCGGCGCCGTCGCATTTCGCACCACGCCCGCTGCCAGCGTTCGCCCCCCCCCCCACTCCCCACCCCCCCCCCCTCGTGGCTTTGACACCGCGAGCACCCCACGCCACTTTGTACGGCACTTTGCTGGGTTGGGGGTGGAGGGGGTCTAAAGAAGTTAGGGGGAAAAAAACGTATCGATGTGCACATGTATTCCGTGACGCTTTCCCAACACAAGTTTTGTCTTGAACAGGATATAATTAGCTGCATGTATGTGTACGTATGTGTGTATGTATGTGTGTATGTATGTGTGTATGTGTGTATGTGTGTGTGTATGTGTGTGTGTATGTATGTGTGTATGTATGTGTGTATGTATGTGTGTATGTATGTGTGTATGTATGTGTGTATGGTTAACTTCTTTTTCACCGTACGTAGCCAATCGTGCTCATAGGAGGTGCGGGGGAAGGACAACAAACTAAACACGAAAAGCAGCTTTCAAGAAATGTGTTCAGCACCAGTGCAAATAGCATTTAGTATATTTTCAAATGCATTGCGGTCTCAAACTTTTTTTGGCGATGCTGCGGTCAACGAGGACGAAACTCCCGAATAGCGATGCCGCTGTACACTCGAGGTTCGTCCACGCCAGGTCATCTTCACAACGGTTCCAGTGCACCCCCCCCCCCCCGTTACTGGGCGGGCAGACGGACAGGGCTTTAAACCTTGGTCGGAGAGCTTTAAAGAGTAATCTGAACCCCACCCCTAGCTTTTAACCCGAGCCCCTATCTCGGCATTCCGCAGGGCAGTCTGTAGACGGCGCTGGCTGTCGGAGGCAATCTGTGTGCGGGCGCGTCCGTCAGACCGCGGCCAACCCGACACTCCACGTGGGACCTCGTGCAAAGTCGGTCTCAACGTGCATCTCCACGGCTAAGATCGAGCCGTCTCTACCCGTTGTGGCCTCTGGTTTTAACAGAGCTGGCTGCAGCGTTCCGTTGAACCCCTCGGGGTATAGCATGCGCTCGTCCCGAAACACGGCGTGTTTGGGGCCGCGGCGCCGAGCCCCGTGCCAGTGCCGTGTCAACTCCGGCGCGTTGTCGCGCCGTGCCGGGTAAATAAATAAATCTAGCACGAGGGGCTGGGCTTGTGCTGTCTGCTGACATGACGCACCTCAGTTTGGGAGGGCCGTCAATTCTTCTTCTTCCCAATATTTGGGGATGGATGGGAACCAGCCATATGCTTTGCCTTCTTAATTAAGAGCCTACACGGGTCCCCATGGCCACTTCCCCCCCCCCCCCGCCCCTCAACTTAACAAGTGTTCATCCACACCTGGATACCCATTGATTACTCATCGCCCACCTGTTGTGATTCATTTACATCATGGATGTCAACAGCGGTGTACCTGCCATGTTTCTAATCCCTCAGCAACTTCCGAGGGCACCCGTGCATTCGCTTTTGATGACAACATCTATCCCGAAAGGTGGAGACATAATTTATATGCAGAGAGGCGAAGGAGAGTTGTGGTGGCTGAGCTGCCTGCTGATTGGGCCTGTGTCCGGGCCTTTGATCACGTTACACTGCCCCCCCCTCCATCACTTTTCCACTCCGGCGTCACCAATTCCCCCCGCTCGTGGTTTCGCCGACTGCCGAGCGATGCGGTTTGCAGAAACTGGAAACATTCGCACCGCTTTGTTTACAATGCCGCAGCCTCGCGAGTGGCACCCCCGTGCCCTGGCACACGCCGTGGAACAAAGCGCGCGTGCCGCGGTGTCCTGTGGACGCCCGACTCTCTCTCTCTCTCTCCGTGCCAATCATACGGGAGCAGTGTTGTGCTGCTGCCAATATATTAAATCCTCTGGTTGTTTTTAATATCATGGTTTACCCCTGTGCCTCTCCGTAACTCTGTATTTGAATTCATAACCCGCTGCACGAGTCCCGCTATTCATTCAGTGCACGTGTCCGTGCCATCCTAATCCTGTTTGAACCACTCTCTGAAATTGCTTCCAGGACTAATCACTTCCTAATGTTCCCCCGTAATGTATCCTTCCTCAACGCTGCCGGGCCTTGTTTACTCCTCTCGTTGGACCTCCGCCGCCCCGCATGGCTCCACCGCTCGCTCAGCTACCCCCCCACCACCACCACCACCACGACATAAATCAACCCCGATCCAATCAACCCTTTTCAGCCACCTCGCCTCGCTTTGTTGCCCCATTTTTACACCCGACACCACCGGAGCCACCCGTTTAGCAAGCACTTATGCCTCTTGAATCTAGTGGCTGCCGCTTACAGCAGTCGAAGATGGCTGGAATGCTGCGCCGTTGCCAGACGCGAACGGCGCTATTGTTGCGCCTGCAAACGCGCCCTTGAATGGCGCGTTTGCAGGCGCAATTCACACGCCATTTTCAAGTCGGCGCGTGCTCTTTGGAGCTTGTTAACACGTATTAATTGCGCCGCGGTTGGCGTTAACGGCGTGATTATCCCAACCTCGACCCTATTGGAACCGCGGCGCGGGAGGTGCGTGGCGTGGACCGGCAGAGTCACGCGGTGGCGACCGCAACAGAGACGTCGACGGCAGAGAAACAAACTGACGGCGCGTGGGAGCGACCATGCCCAGCGATCGGTGGCAAGCGCGCCGCGCGGTCGGTCCCGCGGGGGCACGGGGCATTTCTGCGCGATTACGGTGACATCGCGTTCATCACGGGAGTCTCCGCCGCTCAGGCAGGCACGGTGTCCGATTCTGGAACCCGGTCAATATTTCCCGATGCCTCTAATGCCGAGCTTGGATTGCGCGTCGTTGGAACGTCGTCTTCCATCAGTTCAGATTAAATCCGGCCGCTTAACAAAAGAAACATTTGTCATCCGGACGGTTTTAATGTCCCGTTTTGGCCCTGAATTATAATAGCCGAGGCCGCCTTTGAAGAATGACGGGAATGTGTGGAGCTGTCCGCGATGGCAATAAAAGAAAAAAAACCCACCGAGATATATCTGGTGTCAGGCGCAGCCAGCTGACTTATGTCTTTGATTCCCATCGCCTGCCCTTTTTAAAAGCACTTATGTACATACCACCTGATAAAGTGGCGATTTGATAGGAGCAATGAAGACCGTCACCGCACAAACATGGAAACAGACAGCGCGCGTCTCAGAGCGGCGATAACGCCGATTTGTTCTGGTGAGTGATTCAGTGCCCAGTGACCCCGGTACAGTGGCCACAAGGAGACCGAGTTTGCTTGGTAATTGACCCCAACACAAACCATAGCAGCACCAGGCCTTGAGCTTTGTGCTTCTGCGGCCATCTGGAACGCTGGTCTGATATTAATAAGCTACTGGAGCTATGCACTTTTCATCCTCGATTGAAGACTAATTTCTTTAGAAGGGCTTTTATGTTTAGTTTGTTGTCCTTCCCCCGCACCTTCCATTAGCATGGTTGGCTACGTACGGTGCGAAAGAAGTTCACCATTCATACAGGCCACATCTACTCGGTGCGTCTGCTGTACCTGCTTTGTGCCGTATGCGCTATGTATGCTGGATGTATGTCCGCCCTATGTGCTGTGCCTGACAATACATCAACACAGCCGTATCAAGGCTCGCGCAGCGTGTGGTAACCTCGGTGTAATTTGTAGAAGCGGCTACCTGCAACAAATGGCCGGTGCAATTCCTGCGGTGCATCTCCCATCCCGGAAAACGGTTGCCTCCTTCACGATCGCAGGAGCAGCCGGTGGGCGAGAGGTCGGCGCGCGCCTCGTAAAGCGGCTCTCAATCTGCTGAAGGATCCGTGGTCTGCGATCGTCTCTCTGAGGCAGGATGCGATTGAGCGACGGGGGGTGTGGCGGAGGGGTGGGGCGCAGCGCGATAGGTCGTGGCGCAGCTGCGGCAC